ACTTTTCCGTAAGTTTGAAATTACATAAAAATAAAAATAACAGAAAACAACACAGCAGTCTTACTGATTTAGGGGCTAGTTTTCTTCCACAGAGTGGCATTTTTTAAGATAATCCCAAAAGATTATTAGAACACAAAAGACAGATATACCAATTCCCAAACTATGTTCCCTGGGGCAAATTAGATCATGACAGATTAGCAGATTTATCAAAACTAAAACAATTTATCAAAATTAAAACAATTGTTACTTCTTTCTCCTAAAATTCACTTTGGAAATCATTTTATTCATCAGATTGAGAACTCATACTCTCATTTGAGAGAGCTCATATTTCTTTAAGAAAACATCTTGACGGGATCCCTGGGTGGCGCAGCGGTTTGGCGCCTGCCTTTGGCCCAGGGCGCGATCCTGGAGACCCAGGATCGAATCCCACATCGGGCTCCCGGTGCATGGAGCCTGCTTCTCCCTCTGCCTATGTCTCTGCGCCTCTCTCTCTCTCTCCCTCTGTGACTATCATAAATAAATAAAAATTAAAAAAAAAAAAAAGAAAACATCTTGACAAAGTGAGATGTGCAAAGTGAGCTTATTTATCTAGACAAGGAATAGAAAAGTAGGAATGAAGTCACCAGGGTGGGAAGAATAGCAGTTACATGGTAAAGGTCACATGAATAGCAATGAGACCCCCTCCCTAAAAACCTGCAAGTCTTCTTAGAAACCATGGTACGACATGCAGTGCTTGTCCTATGGAAACAGAACAGTAGTCAAAGTTTTGCATTCCAGTTGACTTGGGAGGAAGAGGAGTGTTTTGACAATATAAATCCTTTGACAGGAAATCTTGGGGAATCTTAAGGCTTCTATAGGACATGAAACTAACGTGTTCAAGGCAACCTGAGATGGTCAATTTTAAGTGTCAACTTGATTAAGCTAAAGAATGCCCAAATAGCTCGTAAAGCATTGTTTCTGGGTTTCTGGGTATGCATGTAAGGATGTCTCCCGAAGAGATTGGCATTTGAATCAATAAACTGAGCATAGATCTTTACCAACACAGGTTGGCATCATCCAAATCACTGAGGGCCTGAACAGAACGAAAAGGCAGAGGAAGGACAAATTCACTCTCTCTGGTTAAGCTGAAACATCTGTCTTCTGCTCACCCTCCCTCCATTGAAGTTCCTGATTCTCAGGCTTTTGGACTCAGAGCTACACCAAACTCACACCACTGGCTACCCAATTCCCAGATCTTCAGACTCTGAATTATACCACCAGCTTTCCTGGTTGTCCAGCTTGCAGGCAGCAGGCAGATCACAGAACTACTATGCCTCCATAATTGAGTCAGCTAATTTCTGTAATAATCCTCTCCATATATATACTTATATATTCATATATATATTTATATACTCATGTATACATTTCTCTAAGTAACCCTAGATACTGGATGGTATCCAGTTTTCATATTAAAGGAGAACACCAAACACATTTATACAGTTGTTCTGATTATGTGATAATATCTTATCATCAGGGACGCCTGGGTAGCTCAGCAGTTAAGTGTCTGCCTTCAATCCAGGGTGTGACTCTGGAGACCTGGGATTGAGTTCTGCATCGGGCTCCCTGTATGGAGTCTGCTTCTCCCTCTGCCTCTGCCTGTGTTTCTGCCTCTGTGTGTGTGTCTCATGAATAAATAAACAAAATATTTTTAAAAATATATCTTGTCATCAATAAATGCGTGCCATATCCAAGAAAGTTACATGAATGATGAGCTGATGCAGGAGATGATGGGTGATTGACCTTCTACATATAGGCAGCAAACACCGTCTTTGGTATTTGTGGTCTGATTGAGAAACACTGATTTAAGTTGTGGATCTTGTTTTGTACTTTCAATATAGGAATGTGCTATCTTATTAGTAATAAAAGAGTTGAATTCTCCAATTTATATCATTCTGTCACAAGGTTTTACAAAATGAATCAAGTGTTGATCACTTCTTATAATTGACTTATCTATAAGACTTTTTTTTTTTTTTTTTTAGCTTCAATCTGAGCGTCATTATTTCTCATGGTCACCTCGTGGTTTTCCACTGCTACATTACAACTTGTCAAGGGTTCTGTGGTCAAATAGGCTTTATGAAATACTGCTATGGGGTGTCATTTATACAGATTCCAGTTTGAAGAGGTAGGACTCAGAAAACGCATTTTCCTGTTCTGGCTACTTTCACAAATCTCTGAGGCACTCTTGATTATTGGAATTATGGGTGGGGCTGAGTAATGAATTATCCATTAGCCAAGGGATTTCCACTGTCAACAGCAATGTAAACTGCATGTTACGGATCAACTCCACACCTTCGGAATGAAATTCCTGGGACACGATTCACTTCAGCAAGGGCCACTATAAACACAGATCAAGGGTGCTAAAGGGAGTCAGCAATATGAAGAGGCCACAGGAAGAGAGGCTTCACCCCGGATGCACTGCAAATCAGGGACGTGGGCCTCTTTCAGAAAGCAGTGCAAGAATTAGATCATTCATTACAGCGAAACGAAAATTATGCTGTCAAAACTTTGACAGTGGTAAGCATATTAACCAAAATGCATGTAAGTGAGGAAATTCTCAGAGCTGCAGCAGCTTAGAACCACACAACAAATGAAGGCATTCTCAGCAAAGCTGAAGCCTATTTACGGTCCTACTGTACTTGGGACTATAGTGCCCTTGAAAAGCGGAAACCCAGCTGTCACCTAAGACAGGAAGGGAATTCTGCAAATTTGGCAGCAACCCTTCAGCTGTGTCCTTAATACCCGTCTTGTAGTCTGCTATGGTGCAACGTTCCTACAGGGCTTGCAGAAGACACGGAGATAGCTCCACGAAGAATCAAAATGGAAGAAATGGATTGTACATCCTTGTACAGAATGGATTCTGAAAAATACCTCATGATTTCACTGCTGCACTATCAGATCTGTCCCCAAATCCCTGCCCTCAGTGTTCCTCACTAGTTACCATATTTATTCACCCAGCTTCAAACCCTCACTTATCCCTAACTCCTCCAATCCCCTCACTCCCATTTTAGCTGCCACCTCTGACAGATTCCACTTCTTCACTGGAAATCCATTCCCTTCTTTTGCTCATTAAGGCCAGTGCTCTGGTTCAGGTCCTCACTTCCTCATACTATTAAGTTATTTATCCTCCTAGCTTCTAGTATTTTTCATTTTACAAACACTGTAAAGTTCATCCTGGTAAATCAGTCTGAATCATAACGACCTTAATCTAACCACCATAATCTAACCACCTTCAATTATTCCTCATGGCTCTGGAACGCAGACATATCCCTCAGCCTGGCATCCAAAACTCCAGTAATCTCCGGGCTCTGTCCCCATAACACCTCAATGTCTACACTATTACCCACACATGTCCATACAAGCACCACATGGTGGGTTCTTTCAACTTCTCTTTACATCTGGATCTCACCTTGCACACAATCTATTCAAATCCTATTTTCCAGGGTCCGTATCAAGCATTCCTTCCTCAAAGAAACATTTCTCTGCTCCCCAAGTAATGTCATCTCCTACATCCCTGAACCTACCACATTTTTCTTGGCATCTATTATGATATGCTTTCTATGCTTCTTATCTATCTTATCTACTATATAATTTTCATTCAATCAATATTTATTAAGACTTGACTATGTGCCAGGCCTTGTATTAAGCATCAGGAATACAGGGGTGAATAAGACAGCAATGACCCCTCAAATCACACAGAGGAGTTGCAAGCCAGGATCACCACAGAGCACTGAGAGCGTACCATAGAGAAGGTCGCTAGGCCAACTGTTCTATCAAGGTGTTAGAAAATACCTGATAAACAAAGTGTCATTCAATTCACATGCTCTGTTTAAAAACCATAATTCTATTAATAAAAAAGATCATTTTAAATGGGAAATTTGAAGAATCATATAGTATAATCTTTAAGTCCATAATTAAAGACCCATATACAATTGCAGCAAAAGTGGAAGAATGTCAAATATCCCCGCTTAAATATTTTACAGCAACAATTACCATTTTTTGAAGACGTGTATTTTTTGTCTAATAAAATAAATCAAAGAAAGGATGAAAAGAAAGAAAATCAGATCTTGGTGTCAATGGGGCTTCAAATGAATGTAAAAAGACTACTGGTTTGGTTTTTTGACAGTTTTTGGATCGAGTGTTTTAGAATCTCACTAATATCCCCAGAATTTCATGTGGATATAACATAGATAAGGATATGTATACTCGGGAGAAAAAAAAAAGAAGAGAATACAACTATGAGATGAACTATGTTAAATTATCATAAGGAGAAAAACAAGACAGGGACACCGGGTTGGGCATCTACCTTCGGCTCAGGGAGTGACTCCAGAGTTTCAGGATCGAGTCCGGCATCGGGCTTCCCATGAGGAGACTGCCCCTCCCTCTGCCTTTGTCTCTGCCGCTCTCTGTGTCTCTTATGAATAAATGAATAAAATCTTTTAAAAAATTAAAAAAAGGACAAGATTTCTCTATGGCCCATATCCTTGACTCAACCACCAGTAAAGAAACTCTGGCATTTAAAAGTGGGGAAAGTTCCGGGGTTCCTGGGTTGCTCAGTTAAGGGTCAGACTCTTGTTCTGGGCTCAGGTCATGATGTCGAGGTCATGGGATCGAGCCCTGAGTGGGGCTCCGTGCTCAGCACAGAATCAGCTTGAGATTCTTGCCCCTTCCCTCTCCTTCTTCCTGTTCTCTCTCTCTCCTAAATAAATAAGTAAATAAAATAAAATAAAATTTCTTAATGAATAAATAAAAGATGGAAAAGTTCTTCCCCCCAAAACAAAACAACAAAAAAAGTTCTTCCCATACATACATACCAGTTTTAACTAAGTATGCAAATTACTACCTTTCAGTGATCCTATTACATCTCAGTTTGAAACATCGCCCACGATTCACATCAAGTGTCCAACGTTCCACCCCATTTCTCTCCTCACCCCACTCACCCGTCTCAGTGATCCCCTATTTACCTCATAAGCATCTTTGATGTTCAAGGGCTCACCAAGTGCTGCCACATGTCCCACAATGCCTTTGTTCCATTCTAAGCGGATACAGTTATTTGAAGCTTCTTCCAGTGTTGAACCTTCTGCAACATCAAACAGGCGGCTGATGAGAAACTTGTCATTGGAGCTGTCCTCACAGACAAGAAACAGGGAATAGCGATCAGCGGAGATAAGTCCATGAATATGCAAGAAAATTTTATGACATAAGGCTGTGACATCCAAATGACTAGAAATATCTTTCACTAATTCCAAGAGTCTCGAGCACTGGTCCCCTTCATCATTATCAAACCTTGGGGGGGTTAGCGGCATCTGTTCCTTCTTTTCTGAGTCAGCGAGGAAGCTCACAGTACCCTCAGAATCTTTGACGACAATGGGTCTAAGAGGCCGGTCAAATTCAGAGGCAGAGATTTTCCTGGTTGGTGTGCCAGGCGCGCTGCTGTCTGCACGGGGACTCTGCTGCGAGGGGCAAGAGCAAGATTCTGCGTGGCCTCTGATGCCTTCTTTACACACAGGGATGGTGTGGACTCTCTCAGCGAACCAGGCATTGACCATTTCTCTGCAGAACAGAATGCAGACATACTAAATATTTAAGAAAGAAAGGTGCTATCTCTCTCTGAAAGCTGCTAACAATTCTCTCACGGCAAACTGCTTAGACAATAATTCAATTTTTCACGGAAATTAAAAACAAGATGGTTTATTTCAGACAATTATATTTTGGAAAACTGTAAAGAACAATTGCTTCAATTAACATTATAATAAAGTCTGATGCCTATAAACAGATTTTCAGATACCTGATTTACAATGCATAAAGCATCAAGTCTGCTTCTTTGAAAAGCAGTTTGCATAAAAGACACTAAATTTGACCACAGTCTTAAGAAAACATAAATATAAAAATTAACTCACTGTTTATAACACACAACTTGTTTTGAAGTTAAATATTTGAAAATTTAAAACAAATATTCATCAAATTTGGTTAGCTAATATGCTAAATGTTAGATGATTTTATCTATATTACTAATATACAGATTAGATTTAGAAGAGGGAAAATATAAACAATTTGATCTGGTATATTAAAAGATTATAGATTCTGTAAATAGTACACTAATAATGCTTGTTCAATAATGGTACAAATGATCTCTTCTAGATCATCTACTCCTGGTATAAAGGAAGAAAATTAAAAAGTAAGCAATAGCTAATTTTAAAAATTTAGTCCAAGCAAATTTAAATTATTTAAATTATGTGAAAGAGATCCATTTGAGTTGAAGGCTTCACGGTGTGTGATTTTTTTTCAAACAAACATCAGATTATACACATCAAAATGACTGTTCAATTCAAATGATTCCATTTGGAAAAATGTTTCATATCAATGGAGAGTGCGTTACTTCAAACATTTTTGGAGCTCTTCTTTTGAAACTAACTTCAAAGAAAATTCATAAGGTAAAAAGAGGATATTAGTTTTCTCCAAAAGTTAGATCTTCTTCACTAAGCCCTTCTCTCAAACACATAAAACCAAAACCAAAACCAAAATAAAAAAAAAAGTAAACACAAAAAACCCTAGAGTAACAGCTAACTTAGTAACTCTTATGCATAAAATTTGACTTTTCCCAAAATTCAAATTTACCTTCAAAAGACAGAAACTTGCTAACACTAATGTTTAAAAGAATCTGCCCATGATAAAAGCAATGCAATCCCCACTCTATAAGGACATAATGATTATTTTCACTAAAAGGCCAGGACAAAAAAAGTTGGACTATGCACTATTTTCGAGAGTGTTTATATATAGGCATTCTTCAATCTTTTTGTCAGTAGTAAAAATTGTTACCATCTTGATGGAGGGTAAACAGGCAACATCTAACCATCTTTTAAATGCATTTATCCTTTGTTCCAGAAGTTTTACACATGTGGCAAAAGAAGTACCAGCATATTTCCTGTAGCACTATTTGTTATAGCAAAGATAGTGAGCTACCTATACCACAACTGGAAGGCTGGTTAAATACATAATGACACATTATACATTTATACAATGGAATACAAGGCAGACATTGAAAAATAGTTATTTCACTTAATAAATCTCCATAATAATTTATTAAGTGAAAAAAGAAGAATACAGAGGGAAAAAAGAAGAGGCTGCTTTATTTCTGAATCTTTACTAAGTTTTCCATTTTTGAGATATTCTCTTATTTTATTTTGAAGAACAATGTATTATTTGGTAAATATCTATCATTCTGAAATAGTACCAGTCTAGAATGGAATGGGTAAAAAAATAATAACACAGATATTATCAGGATGACCACAGAATTTCATTTCAAGTGCTGGATACAGATATAAAAGCCTTTCAAAGACCCCTTTAAGGAGAAACACTTCCATAACCCCCCCCCCCCCAATTGCAGTAGTGGTGCCAAAGACACTGATGTCAAAAATGGCTGTGAAGCTGTCAAAAATGTATAGGAGGGCAGCCCGGGTGGCTCAGTGGTTTAACGCCGCCTTCAGCCCAGAACGTGTCCTGGAGACCCGAGATCGAGTACCACATTGGGCTTCCCAGCAGGGAGCCTGCTTCTCCCTCTGCCTGTGTCTCTGCTTCTCATTCTCTCATAAACTTAAAAAAAAAAGAAAAAAGAAAAAGAAAAGAAAAAAATGTACAGGAAGTTTCTGAATAAAATTGTTTTGTAAGATGTAGATAGAAAAAAAGCACTATATCTAAATTAATATATTTTATGTGATTTAAAGATATGTAGATGTAGCTTAAATTGCTAAATCAATATAAAAATGGGCGTTTGAATTATTTCAGCTACCAACCTAAATTTTAGTCAAATGATTTCTTATCTTCTTATTGGAAAATGCTGATCAACTTTTTTTTAAATCAAAACACCTACTTGACAAGCCCACGTAGATATCTAAACAGACAACTTAAAATGGCAAAAACAGAATTCCTAATGATACTCATTATCTTACCACAATCTCACTGCCTGCCAGTTTTCCTTATATTAATAAAAGCACTATCATCTCCCTAGTTACTCAAATCAACATCTAGGAATAATTCTAAATTTGTTTCCTTCAAATCTCACGTCCAAGCCAAGCCCCATCAATGTGACTCCCCAAAGCTTGTATCCCAATATGGTCATTTCTATCTCTTATGTTAAATCCTGGTCTAAGTCCCCTATGGCTACAGCCTCCTCAGTGGTCTCTCTGTATTATACGTGCCCCCTTTCAATCCATTATCCCCATAGCAGCCTGAGGAATCTTTAAACAAAGTATATCTTAACATCATAATTATCCTACTTGGTGTCTCAGTGACTAAAGAATAAAACTCAAACTCTTTCAATCCCCTACCATTGTTCCACTTGCCCAGGCTGGCCTCCCTGATGCTCCTCAAGCACACCAAGCTCTAACTGTCCTCAGTCTGGAATGTTCTCCCCTCACCTTCATCTGGCTGATCACAGCTTCTGCATCTCTACCCAGAGAGGTCTTCCCTGATCCTGCCGCCTAAAGTGACCTTTGACACATGATGGTCTCACTTAACTGCACCTAAATTCTTATTAGTTGATCTGTTGTTTTATTGTCTGTCTCCTCCAACCAGATGTAAATTTCATCAGAGCTGCCGGCCTGCCCTGTTCCCGTGCTGAGAAAATGCCTGTCTCATAGTGTGTCTACAACAAATAATTTTTGAGTGAAGTGAATGGATCAATAAATCAGGCTCCTAAATGAACTACAACAAAAGGGACAGCAGTCTTTGATTATCTGAACGCTGGTATATCTGTTGCATAAAATCAGCACTGCGGTTTAACTATGAATATTTATCACCTCTCGGATGTAAGCCTCATAACTAACTATGTTTAATTTATCCTCATATAACCTGCAGGGCCTACTATATGTCTTAAATAGAGCCAGGACTTAAAAATTCTGTTATATGGTTTTCATTACTATATTTGTCTCACAACTGTTTTGTTTCTAATTATTTTCTTGGAGGGATGAACTCAGTGTTAAATTATACAGGAAAGCGGATCTAGTATATTCGCTCATTCAATCAGCAATTTTTATTCACCACCACTCATGAGGGGAGGGATTTCTCATGACCACATTATTGATTATCTGAGTCCCTGTAGTTATATGCTTATGTAGGAAAACATACGTTATCACTTAGGAACACTCACTTAGGAACCAACCCACAAATTAAATCAAATCATTTCTTACACCTCTCCCTCCTTAGACATCCCTTGCAAGTTTTCCAGTATATGACCTATGTGACTATAAGAAGTGGGCCTTTCCTTTTAAAATAATCTATCCTCGGGATCCCTGGGTGGCGCAGCGTTTTGGCATCTGCCTTTGGCCCAGGGCGCGATCCTGGAGACCCAGGATCGAATCCCACGTCGGGCTCCCGGTGCATGGAGCCTGCTTCTCCCTCTGCCTATGTCTCTGCCTCTCTCTCTCTCTCTCTCTCTCTCTCTCTCTCTGTGTGACTATCATAAATAAATAAATAAATAAAAATTTAAAAAAAAAAGAATCAATATTAAAAATAATAATAATAAATAAAATAAAATAATCTATCCTCTTCTGATAATTTTTAAATACTTAAATCTCTGTATACAAATAACCTGCAAATCAAAATTAAAATGCTTATGTAGGATACAGAATTTCTAGAAGTAAATCAAAGGTAATGTTGGAGAACCATCACAATACATTACAATTGTTTGCAATTACATTACAATATTACACAAAGCCACTGACAATTCAGGGCCACGCCCAATTAAAGACAGCTTACAAATCAAGAAAGAATCAACAAAGATAATGACATAATAGATACTTGAAAAGAGAATTTTATTTAAATAATTATACTCAAGATTAAGAAGTGTCCTTGAAAAAACAGATGAAATCTTCAGATACTAATTTGAAAAATTATTTTTTGAAAAAAAAAACAACAGAAGTCTCTATAATCCTGCTGTAAAAGTCAAACACGAAGGGGACGCCTGGGTGGCTCAGTGGTTGAGCATCTGCCTTTGGCTTGGGGCATGATCCCAAGGTCCTGGGATCAAGTCCTGCATTAGGCTCCCCACAGGGAAGCTGCTTCTCCCTCTGCCTATATCTCTGCCAGTTTCTCTGTATTTCTCAAGAATAAATAAAAATAAAATCTTAAAAAAAAAAGTCAAACATGAAGAAGTAAAGTTAATGGTTATGGAATCATTTTTGTCAAAACTGTTTATTCTAACAGTGAGCATGGAATTTTCATTATAATCTAAATTGTATTAAATCTAGGATAAGATTAAATTACTTTCACATTCTGTGGTTCCATTTGCATGATAAAGTTCCAATCAAAACCTTTCCACTCGTTTTTTTCATTTTAATTGCATTTATGCTTAAATATCTTTATTTTTTATAGAAGGAATTATTCTCATAAGGTAAAAGATCTGATGTGTCAGGCACTATGCTGGGGACCAGAGATATAGTAATGAGCACCTCTAGGCATACTATTCAGTGATCACTCCTCCAAAATTGAGGTTTATGTTGTGTTCAGGAGTTAATTTATATTTTGGATTTTGCCATCACATGAAGTAAATGTAA